GCTCCCTATGCGGCCACGAAGCGCTGCCATGGGCGGGGGAACCGCATGCGAGAGCAGCCACTGGGGCCCTCGGTGGAGTTCCCTGTGGGGCCACGAAACGCTGCCCTGGGTGGGGGAACCGCATGAGAACTGCGCCACTGGGGCCTTCGGTGGAATTCCCCACTGGGGCCAAGAAGCGCTCGGGGGGGGGGGAACCGCATGCGAACTGCGCCACTGGGGCCTTCGGTGGAGCTCCCTGTGGGCCACGAAACGCTGCCATGGGTACGGGAACCGCATGCGAACTGCGCCACTGGGGCCTTCGGTGGAGCTCCCTGTGGGGCCACGAAACGCTGCCCTGGGTGGGGAAACCGCGTGCAAGAGCAGCCACTGGGGCCTTCGGTGGAGCTCCCTGTGGGGCCACGAAACGCTGCCCTGGGCGGGGGAACCGCGTGCGAGAGCAGCCAATGGGGCCTTCGGTGGAGCTCCTTATGGGGCCACGAAACGCTGCCCTGGGTGGGGGAACCGCATGCGCCCACCCCCACTGGGGCCTTCGGTGGAGCTCCCTGTGGGGCCACGAAACGCTGCCCTGGGCGGGGGAACCGCATGCGAGAGCACCCCCTCACTGGGGCCTTCGGTGGAGCTCCCTGTGGGGCCACGAAACGCTGCCCTGGGTGGGGGAACCGCATGCGAGATCAGCCCCAATGGGGCCTTCGGTGGAGCTCCCTGTGGGGCCACGAAACGCTGCCCTGGGTGGGGGAACGCTGCCCTGGGTGGGGGAACCGCATGCGCCCACCCCCACTGGGGCCTTCGGTGGAGCTCCTTATGGGGCCACGAAACGCTGCCCTGGGTGGGGGAACCGCATGCGGGGGCCTTCGGTGGGAGCCCTATGGGGCCCACGAAACGCTGCCCTGGTGGGGGACCCATGCGCCCACCCCCACTGGGGCCTTCGGTGGAGCTCCCTGTGGGGCCACGAAACGCTGCCCTGGGTGGGGGAACCGCATGCGCCCACCCCCACTGGGGCTTTCGGTGGAGCTCCCTGTGGGGCCACGAAACGCTACCCTGGGCGGGGGAACCGCATGCGCCCCCCCCTCACTGGGACCTTCGGTGGAGCTCCCCATGGGGCCACGAAACGCTGCCCTGGGTGGGGGAACCGCATGCGCCCCCCTTCACCGGGACCTTCGGTGGAGCTCCCTGTGGGGCCACGAAACGCTGCCCTGGGTGGGGGAACCGCATGCGCCCCCCCTCACCGGGACCTTCGGTGGAGCTCCCTGTGGGGCCACGAAACGCTGCCCTGGATGTGGGAACCGCATGCACCCCCCCCTCACTGGGACCTTCGGTGGAGCTCCCCATGGGGCTACGAAACGTGTGAGAGGTGTGCCGAGAGCAGAGGCAAGGAGGGGGAGGAGGGAGGAGGGGGAGGAGGGAAGGAAGGAAGGAAGGAAGGAAGGAAGGAAGGAAGGAAGGAAGGAACGCAGGGCACCGTCTCTTCAAAACGAGGACCCAACACCACAGGATGGTTGGGAAAAATACGAATGCGCGCGGCACTGGGGTTAAGTCGGGCCTGTCCCCCATACAGGGGGATCCTCTACGACAAATAAAAAGTACCCCAGTGCGACCCGACCTAGAAGTTGGAACCCCTAGGAAAGCAGCATTAGTTGCTATGCTATGCTATGATATACCATGCTATGCTGTGCTATGCTATGCTATGCTATGATATGCTAAGATATGAGATGATATGATATGGTATGGTATGATATGATATGATATGATAAGATAAGCTGTGCTATGGCATGCTGTGATGTGATATGCTAAGCTATATTAAATTATGATATGGTATAAAATGATGTGCTAAGCTGTGCTATGATGTGTTATGTTATGATGTGTTACGCTACGATATGCTGCGCTATGCTATACTATGGTGCGCTATGCTATGCTATGCTATGCTGTGATTGGTTATGCTATGGTATGCTATGCTATGTTAATGCAGCGCTGCGCTATGCTAAACTAAGTTAGGCTAAGCTAAGCTAACCCTCCAGGCAGAGCCCAGGTAGGGAAAAACACCAATGCTAATGCTTTGCTTTGCTTTGCGTTGCTTGTGCTTTGCTTTGCTGTCGCTGCTGTTGCGTTGCCTTTGCTTTGCTGCTGTGCTATGCTATGCTCTGTTATGCTATGCTATGCTATGCTGCGCTGTGCTATGCTGTGCTGTGCTGCGCTGCGCTATGCTATGCTATGCTATGCTCTGCTATGCTATGCTGCGCTATGCTATGCTATGCTGGGCTATGCTATGATATGCTGTGCTGCGCTGTGCTATGCTACGCTATGATATGCTATGATGTGCTCTGCTATGCTAACGCTCGGCTAAGATAAGATGAAGGTAAGCTAAGCTAAGATATCCCTGAGCTAAGATGAAGCTAAGCTCATATAATATGAGATAAGCTAAGTTAAGATGAGATTCGCAACGCTGAGCTAGGGGACGTATCTGGGGGAACCGCGGAGCGGATGCCGGGGAAACCGCCCGGGGCGTTTTCCACTGCCCGGCCTTTTAAGCTCAGACAGTAAGAACCCTTCCAGGCAGAGCCTAGGTAGGGAAATACCCCAAACAGCATGTTTCATTTGTCGTAGAAATTCCCCCTGTAGGGAGACAAGCCCGACCAAACACTGGGGCGATAGCCACATCTTGAAAACGGCCCACCCTCCATCTCTGTAACTGGTCCAGGTTTTGAAAAGTCATGCACGCGGCGCTGAAGCGAAAGCCACATGTTTGCATTTATATCTTAAAGACTCCTCCATCCGTACAAGTGTTGGACATATCAAGTTGCTCGGGGCCGAAAGCCGGGAGGGCGTCTCGGGCGAAGCACGCCCAGTCCACCCTATGTACCGATGCGTCTGGTGGTGAGACGAGGATGAGGTATCTGCCAAGAAAAGAATGGAAAAGGAAGAGCGCAGGCACCCCTGAGAGCGGATGCTTCACTTCATCACGCCTGGACGCGCGCGGCGGCGGCACGGGCCGCGCGGGAGGATGGAGGAGGAGGAGGAGGAAGAGGAGGAGGAGGAGGAGGAGGAGGAGCGGACCCCACCATGGGGGGCCATGTCCCTGGAGCCCTGGGCGAGGGAGAGGCTGGCAAGGGCCGGGCTCTTGTCCTCAAGAGCCTGGTGCCGGGCTCACGCCGTGCCCGCTGTTGCGGAAGGCCGGACCCGCGGCCCCTCCCACTTACGCAGGCGGAAAATAATGACATACAACATCAGCGCAAAGCAGAATCGAAGCACGAGCAGCGAGCAGAAGCGGCGGCAGTGAAGAGACATGCGAACGTCGACGGAGCCAGCGGGAAAGCAGCGGGGAGGAAGGAGCAGAGGCGAGCAGCTGCCTGACACGACAGCATTTGACAGAGGGAGCCCTCCCAGGCCGCACCGCAGAAGAGACACGGTCAGGTCCTCTCGCGGAAGCGGCTGCTTGTGGCTCAATCACCCGCTGCAGACGGAGGCGAGGACAGAGCAGGGCAAAATAGAAGCCAGGGAATGGAGGAGGAGGAGGAGGAGGAGGAAGAGGAGGAGGAGGAGGAGGAGGGAGACCGGGGGCAAGATCGGCGGGCATCGCAGAGAGGCCCCCAAGGCCGGCACGGCGGGCGGGGCGCCGGTCCTGGAAGAGCCGCCTGGTGCCGGCGGAGCTCAGCAGCCTCTGGGCGCGCCTGCCGGGCGGGCAGCACGGAGTGCCGCCGAGCCCCCGCGCGCGCGCCTGCTCCGACGACGCTGCCCCCGCAGCGGCGTCGCCCATCGGCAGGGCCTGCCCGCCTCCTCCTCCTCCTCCTCCTCCTCCTCCTCCTCCTCCTCCTCCCCCTCCTCCTCGGTCCTTCTCTTCCAGCGCGCCCAGCTCTCCGCGCACGGCGCCCGTCGGTGCGCGACGCGCGGGTCTCACCTCGGCGCCCTCGCGCCGCCACGTTTTGGGGAGGGGCAGCGGCTCCGGCCAAGGCCGCGGCGCACGCGGCGCGGGGTCCTTCTCGCGCCCCCCAGGGGGTGGTTGCTGCTGCAGCGTCTGGGCGAGGCTTCCCCCGGCTGTGTGCCCGACGCGGTGCGGGGACCAGCACGCGGACCTCCAGCCAGAGAGAGACGAAACGGCCGCCTCGCAACGTGTTCTGCCAACAGGTGGTTACGTGCGGTACGTTTCTCCTCCCCCTCCCACCCTCCCACCCCCCCTCCTCCCCCCATCCCGTTTCCTTACAGATAACTCCTCTTCCTCCTCCTCTGACTACCTGACGTGTCGGTAGGGCGGACTGGGCGTTTCGCCTGACACTTCTCTACCATGTATGATCCTGAAAGTTGAGAATTCGATCTGCTACAGGGATGGAGGGATGGCCGTTTTCAAAAATGGGCATGCACGTAAGCGAGACGCACATCCGTCCGAAAAGCTTGCCGCTGCTACAATCATGGGGGGGTCGTTTTCACAATCGCGATCTCGTCTCAGCGCCGCGCACATTCGTATTAAAACCGTGCAGCTGTTATACGGATGCAGGGCGGGTGGTTGTCAAATTGGGCTCTTCTCTCAGCGATGCGCGCATTAATCATAAAAGTCAGCAGCAGCTACACGGATGGAGGCCGGTTCCTTCTCATCGACTCTCGCCTCAACGCCGCGCACGTTCGTCTTGAAAGCTTGCAAGGAGTTACAAGGATGGATGGCGGGTGGGGTTCAAAATGGGGCACTCGCCCTAGCGCCGCGCACCTGCTTTTTGAGGTCTGCGTCAGTAAGCAAGTGGGTTCGGTTCCTTTTCAGCATTGGATTATCTCTTCATTTTCTGAGACCGTGAAAATCAAACATCTGAACAGAAGTAACAGCTGCACGGATGCACGGCGATTACGTGTAAAGGATGGGCGACAGTTACACACGCGAGGGCGGTCACTCTTCAACGGAGATCTCGTTGGACACATCGTTGAATTTTACAACAATGCCTTTTGATGCTTGCCCGCTACCGCTAAGAGGATGCAGGGCAATTCCAATTCTAAACGGGACTCTCGTCTGCATGGCAGGCCCATGGGATGATGGTGTTGAAAAAAGAGACTTGGGACGGGAGGGTGTGATGCTGCATCGTTGGTGCATCTTGGGTTTACTATGGTCATCCTCCTCATCCTCCTCCTCATCCTCCTCCTCCTCCTGCTCCTCCTCCTCCTCGTCCTCCGCGTCCTCCTCCTCCTCGTCCTTCCCCTCCATTATCCCCCCTTTCCCTTTGTTCCCTCCCCCTCCCACCCCCGCTCGCGCTCACGCGGACGACAAAAACGACGACGACGACACCGACGACGACGATACGGAATAATTACCATCCCCAACGCTTTTCGCCGGCAGCGCGCGCGGCCTTCAATCCAGCCGGACATGAACCGCCTTTCTGTTTGGGTGGTCCAGGGCACCGCTGGTGGGCTACCCCTGACACGCCGGGTGCCTCCCTCCACCCCTCCCCCTCTTCCCACCCCGGCTCGCGCTCTCGCGGACGAGGAAGAGGACGAGGGCGAGGACGAGGACGAGGACGACGACGAGAACGAGGACGAGGACGAGGACGAGGACGAGGACGAGGACGAGGACGACGACGACGACGACGACGACGACGACGACGACGACGTCTGCGGCGGCGACGGCGACGACGGGCGTCGACGGCGTTGGCGGCGGCGGCGAGGACGACGGCCGAGGCGGCGGCGGCGGCGGCGGCGAGCCGCAGAGGCCGCCGCCGCGCCTGGCGCGCTCGCCGCGGTGCGCCGCGGATGCCTCGCGGCCGCGCCTCTGGACGCGCTCCCGCAGGGTCTGCGACACCACCTGCGGCTGGCGCGGCGGCGGCGGCCACCCGGCGACGATGAACGTTCCTCCGCGCTCCTCCTCGCTCCTCTTCCTCCTCCCCTTGTTACGTTACGGTAGGCAGGTCCAGATAGAATTAGGTCGGGCATGTCCTCCTAGAGGTGGATTTCGCAAGAAGATTTAAAATAATGTCCGAAAGTATTCGAAAATACCCCAATGAGCACGACAAATCGTCACCAGCCTATTTCTAAAACTATTATTGAATATTCCTCCTGCGATGAGAGGGACATGCCCGACTTAGAGATAGGACGAGGGGACACTGGTGCCGAGCCTGCGGGCACGGAGCGGGCAGCCACGCATGCGCAACAAGCCCGCAAAGCGGCTGGAGGTCCGACCGCGGGCCATTGCCCAGCAGCGCGCGCCCTGCCCCCAGGGGCCAGGTCTCCCAGGCCGGAGACAGCTGTGCGGGCACCTCTGAAGGCTGGCGCCGGCCGTGCACTGCGCGGTGATGAGGCCCACCACGGCCCCGCAGCCTCCTCCTCTCCAGGCGCGGGCGCGCACGGCCACACGCGCGCGCGCAAGAAGGGAGAGGAAAGGGGAGGGGGGGAGGAGGAGAAGCGGGAGGCTAGGAGGAGAGGGGGGAGCAGCAGGAGGGGGGAGAGAGAGGGCAGGGGGCGAGGGAGGACAAGGGGGAACCGTTCTCAGTTAAGCCGGCGAAGGCTCCAGCCATAAATGCAGCTGTGCACACCGCATCCGTGAGCATCGCCCTCGGTAGAAAGCTCCTTATGGGGGCACGAACCTTGGTGTGAGGCAGGGCTGAACCTATACGGTGTTTTCCGTGTTCGTTTTGTTTTCGTTTTCCTTCGTTTTGTCTTCAATCCGCCTTTACCGCAAAACGAAGTCGAAACGAAAACGGCCCACGAAATGGCAAAAACACCGCTTAGGTCCAGCCCTGGTGTGAGGAGTGTGCCCGTGTGTCCTCCTCCTCCTCCTCCTCCGCCTCCTCCTCCTCCTCCTCCTCTTCCTCCTCCTCTCCCCCCTCCCTCCTCCTCCCTCCTCCTCCTCCTCTCCTCCTCCTCCTCCTCCTCCTCTTCCTCCTCTCCTCCTCCTCCCTCCTCTCTCTCCTCCTCCTCCTCCTCTCCTCTCCTCCTCCTCCTCCTCCTCCTCCAACTCCTCCTCCTTCTCTCCTCTCCTCCTCCTCCTCCTCCTCCTCCTCCTCCTCCCTCCTCCCCTCCTCCTCCTCCTCCTCCTCCTCCTCCTCCTCCTCTCCTCCTCTCCTCCTCCTCCTCTCCTCCTCCTCCTCCTCCTCCTCCTCCTCCTCCTCCTCCTCCTCCTCCTCCTCCTCCTCCTCCTCCTCCTCCTCCTCCCTCCCTCCTCCTCCTCCCTCCTCCTCCTCCTCCTCCTCCCTCCTCTCCTCCTCTCTCCTCCTCCTCCTCCTCCTCCTCCTCCTCCTCCCTCCCCCCCCCCGGTGTGCGTGGCCCCACAGGCACAGTGGGGTGCACGTGCGGCTGTCACCGCTTCGCCCGTCCTTCTCCTTTCATTGCTGCCGATCTGCCGGGGCGGCAGGGTTTCGCCCTGGGCCAGGATGCCCAAACCCCCTCGCGCTGCGAAAATGACCCTGTGACATACCCAACCCTTCCTATACATGTGGCGATTATACCCAGGACCACTCAATGCTGACTGGCATTCTGAAGGACCCGCAGTGCGCAAGAAGAGCACCCAGCAGTGATTGCAGAAGAGCGCAGCAAGAAGAGCTAGGAACGGCAAATATACAAAATGGAAACACAGGGGCATTGAAAGAAACGTACCTCCGCTGGGCCTCCCAGGAGCCCACGAAAGTGGCGACAGTTGCGCAGATCGCAAGCCCCACAGGGGTCGGCGAGGTCCCGAGGTGGTCCGCGTGGGACGTACCTCCGCTGAGCCTCCCAGGAGCCCACGAAAGTGGCGACAGTTGCGCAGATCGCAGCCCGACGGCACGAGAGAAGAGGAGAAGGGAACACAGGAGACAGGAGAGAAGGAGGAGGGGAGGAGAGGAGGTGGAGACCACACTGCTCTACTCAAAACGAGTACCCAACACCACAGGAGGGTTGGGGAAAAAAACACGACGCGAGGTTCTCGCTGAAAAAAACGACTCAGGATGAAGAACCCGTCCTGGGAGAAGGGGTCCGGACCTCTGGGGGTCGACGCTGCTCACCCTCCGAATCTCCGAGGGAAGGGAGCCCGCACGGCCCAGCAGCAGACCACCCAACCCGCCCCCCTCACAAGCTCGAGCCGCTGCGCATCCTGTGCCTTGCAGTGGGTGGGTAAGGTGCGCCTGCCCTTCAGAGGGCACATTCGGACCTCGAGGCGTACCTCGCTTACCAGCCTCGAACGTGTCCCTATCCCTAAGATGTACACGCCAAAAGGCGAGGACAATCTTGGGGATTCGCCCTCAAAAAATGAGGGAATCCCTAAGATTGCCATCGTGATGAGGAGGTGCCCTGCATAGGGATAGGGATATGTTCCAGGCTGGTAACTCGCATCCTCCGCCTCCACCTACCCTCGCCTCCCCGTCCCTCACCACCTCCCTTTCCCTCATCCCTGCTTCCCCCCCTGTCCTGTTTCTTGTCCACAGTCTCTCCACCCTCGTTCCCTCGGCACTGCGGGAGGGCTCCCCGGCCAAGCACGGCCCCGAGCATGGCCCCATGGTTCACTCTGCCCCGGCACGTCCCGTTGAGAACTCATGCCGAGACCTGGCGCGTTGAGATACACACGCCAACACACGCACACACGAGCACAGAACACACACACACACACACGGAATCACAACATACCACATAGCACAGCACAGCGCAGCCCAACACAACACAACGCACACACACACACACAAAAAAAAAAAAAACACACACACACACACACACACACACGCCCAGACTCACGCACACGCACGCACGCACGCACGCACGCACGCACGCACACACACACACACACACACGTGTTGGCGGTCGTGGCACCGCGCGCAGCGTCGAGGCGAAGAACACACGAACACACACACACACACACACACACACACACAGACACACAAGAAAAAGACATACGCACAACACACACACACACACATACACACTATGCGTGCCTGGAACACTCATTCCGCTTTCCCCAGACAACGCTTTACACTAGATACAGCCATGTCCGAGCCTAGAGCTCCAATGTCCGATGTGATTGTGGCGTGTGGAGGCGCCGGAATGCGTTCTGATGATCTCTCTTCGCTGGGGCCTCGGCTCGAGGCTGCGCGGTGCCAATCTGTCGCCGCTGCGGCCCAGTGCATGCCCGCGCCGGCCAGCGGCTCAGCGGGCTACGACAAGACCTCAAACAGCACGGCTGCGCCCGAAAGAGGATCAGGAGGAGTTCGAGGATGACGAAGAGGCGGACGAGGAGGACAAGGAGAAGGAAGAGTGGGCACCGCAGGAGGCAGACCTCAGCGCTGGCGGAAGAGCTCCTCTGCGGGCACCTGCCGGGACGCCTCCAGCTGCCTCTGCCACTCCAGCTCCTAGAGAAAGACGAGGCGCATACACGGAAGATTGTGGAGGTCCGCGCGGGTTTCCAGGATCTGCGGTGAAGCTCGGGGAGGCGCCGAAGGCACCGCCGAGGGGTTCCAGCGCAGATCCAGGAAGTGCGCGCGGAACGCCGAACAGCTATGCTTATGCACGTTGTTCTTCTTTGGTACTGCTTTTGTGTTAGGATATCCGGTAACGGTCGTCATCCAGGGGAGGGGCACCGGGCAACGATAACGCATGTGCGGGACAGGGGCACGTCGGAGGTCGGAAAGCGGGGTTGCGCTGCGATCGCCGTAGCATGTGCGCGAGCACCAGTATGGGATGGGGGGGGGGGTCCAGGGCCCCCCCCCCCCCTATGCACGGCAGTTACCGTTACCGGGAGGGGGGGAGCAGGGCAGGAAGCGACCGCTACCCGCCAGCACACATCACCCCGGGAGGGGGGTGCGGGAAACGACCGCTTCACGCCCGGATGTATTCATACAGATCTATATGTAAAGATATAGAAAACCTATACAAGTTGATGTGTATATATATGTGTAGATATATATATATATATACATATATACATATGTACATACGCACATGCATGCGAATATGCATAAGCGCTATATGTACATACACACGGATATGCTAATATGCACAGACGCATACAGAAATACAGAGGGATTCTAGAAAGACTCCATATATATATATAAATATGTGTGTAAATATGTGTATATACAAATAGATGTGTGAATATACATATGTATATATATATATATGCACACGCATAGGCCGGAACAGCTGCACACAAACAGAGACGCTCCGAGAGGCGCCTTCTCCAGGTCGTCCCGGTCCATCTCCTCGACGGCCTCCAGGCTGCTGAGGGCCCAGCTGCCCAGGCCGCCCCAGCCGGGCTCCGCCGCGCCGCCCGGCGCCGCGCCCTCCTCCTCGGGCGCGAGCAGCCGCCTCTGCCGCTCCTCTCGGGGGGGAGGCGCGGCGACGGGGGGGGGAGAGCAAAGAGTAGGAGACAGCATTGAAGAAAGGAAGGATTAAAGAGGATCAAAGTGGATTTAAAGAGGACGAAGGGCTCCTCTCGGGGGGGAGGCGACAGGGGGGGAGAGCAAAGAATAGGAGACAGCATTAAAGGAAGGAAGGGTTTAAGAGGATTACATTGGAGTAACGAGAACGATGGGCTCCCCTGGGAGGTTTGCGTCGGAAGGAACAAAGAGGATCAAGCCCCATTGGGGGGCTGCTACGCCGGAGTGGGCCTCGGATTAAGCTGGATTGAGCGGGCTTAAGCAGGGTTGAGCAGGGTTAAGCCGGATTGAGCGGGATTAAGCAGGATAAAGCGGGATTAAGCAAGATTAAACTGGATTTCGGACTAGGGCAAAATCAGAACTTGACCTCCCAGGAGTTGCATACGAACAAAGGGTAAGGCAGGGAATCTGCTCGCACAGCTGATTTTCCCGGCGCCTCCTGGCGCCGGGAGGCGCCCACGTAATCGAGGAATGGGCCCAGCGGCGGGGCCGGAGCCAGCTGCATACAGCAGACTTCGTAACCCCCCCTTTCCCTATCCCCCCCCTTTCGTTGGGCCCGATCCTCTCAGGTCGGGCGTGTCCCCCTACAGGCGGATTTGGGAGGAAAAATAAAAAATACCAACAACAACAACAAAAACTAGCAAAATATTCAAAACATCGTCCCCAGGCTGTTTTTCGGATACGTTTTCCAACTCCTCCTGTGGAGGGACGTGCCCGACTTGACGCTCCTCCTCCCGCTGCTGGGCGACCAGCGTCTGCGGGCTCAGGAGCGACTTCGACACGAGAGCCTACGAGACGAAAGCAAAAGTCCTGGAGGCCTGGAAATGGGCACCAACACCAACACAGGGGTATGCCTCCTCAGGGGGGAGATGATCCTAGATTCCGGTGCTGGTGGTAACATTCCGGCCACCCTTGGAAGCCAGAATATGGCCACCGTCACCGAGATCGGGATCTTCTTCCCTCGGTGGAGGCACGCCGCCGAGATTGGTGCTGGTGTCAACCTCTGGGCCTGCGAAGATCCCTCGGATCCTGGCGCTGCCACTTGTGCTCACGACAAGGGGCGGTGCCGCCGGGCTCCGGGCCCCCCGCGGGGACCCTCACGGACCGATCTGGGCTCGGAAAACGACGCAGAAAGGTGGGGTCCAGGGATCTGGTCGTGATGTTGGTCGATGCTTCGTGTTTTTCGCAACGTCGGATCTGAGGGATATATATATATATATAACTTTATATTACATAGGGATAGATATATAGATAGCTAGCTAGCTAGCTAGCTAGCTAGCTAGCTAGCTAGATAGATAGATAGATAGATAGATAGATAGATAAATAAACATGATTACACAGAGAAGCCCGCCTCCGACGAACTTTGTATGTAAGTGCCTGCAGGGAGGGTGGCGGTGTGTAAAGTCGCTGGCTCCCAATGGTCCTTTGTACACCGCCGCCCTCCCCTGAGGCCCAGGAGCAACCCACGGGAGGCTGTCTGCGTGCACACATGCTTGTGGCGGAGAGCCATGCCGCCCGCGTTCAGCAGGAGCAGCCCCCAGTACATCGCAGCGACCGCGGCCTTCTGCTGGTCCGTGAAGCTGTGGGCGCTCAGGCCGGACTGGTGCGCGTCGCCACCCTCCTCGTCTCCCCCGAACTGCCGGCCGAACAGCACGAAACCCCGTCTGTACAGACGGTACGCGTTCAAGAAGAACAGCAGATACAGCATCGGGCTGCTCAGGACGGCGCACGCCGCTAGGTTGAACACGGTCCCGAGCAGCAGTGCGTTCCGGGAGAAGAAGCCCAGAAGCTGCCCGCCTGGCGTCATGTCCCCCATCGGCATCAGACTGAACATGCCTATCCAGAAGCCGGTGTTTGCCACCGCGTAGCCGCACTGTGAGCCCATCATCATTCCACCCACGCCCAACGGCGCCAAAGCTGTAAAGAGGAACATGCCGACCACGGGAGAGATAATGACAAGACACCTCTTGAAAGGCTGGCCTTGCAAGACGTACTCTTCCGATTTTGTATAATCTGAACTGCCTGAGCTGCTCGTGCCGAAAAACGGAATCATGACCATGGGCTCGACCTCACAACCAAATCTCTTCAACAATAGCGCGCGCGACGCCTGCCCCGTAAACATCAAACTCACCATGCCCACTGCAAATGGGAACCCGAAGAAACAACTGTAACAGACGGTCGATAACGCCATCGACATCAACGGCATCGCTTTAGTCAGCTTCAGCACCGGAAACGCGAACTTCACCACGGCGCCAAACTTGGACATCTTCACCGCGCTGTATCCCACGGCTCCCACGCCCATCAGCTTCTGCATCGCGTTCTCGTCCTTCCTGAACTTCTGGATCTTGTCCTGGATCCTCTTGCCGAGCCCCCCGCTCCCCCTCGCGCGCAGCAGGCTGGACGCGTGCACGGGGCTTGGAGGCGGCAAGGGGCATCCGAGCTGCTGCCGAGAGGGGCGACTGCTGGCCATCCGCTCGGACGTCCATCTCCTGTGTTCTTTTGTTTCGGTTTCGTGCGTGGCTCTTTCGCCAAATGATCAAGGATGCTCCTCGATGGTCCTCGCCCGAGGAAAAATGCACACGTCCGAGCGATGCCAAAGACGGGGGCGAAGTCCCTCGGCCTCGGTCCCCGAGGCCCTCCCGGGGTCGAAACGGACCAGTGGCTCGAGCCGCGCCCCGCCGCGGCGACGAGGGGGCTCCTCTCTTTCTCTCTCTCTCTCTCTCTCTCTTTCTCTTTTTCTCTCTCTCTCTCTCTCTCTCTCTCTCTCTTTCTCTCTCTTTCTCTTTCTCTTTCTCTCTCTCTCTCTCTCTCTCTCTCTCCCCTTTCTGGCCGAACCCGGAGATCCGACGTCTGGCTGTTTCCAAGTCGTCCCCAGGAGTCCCGACCCTGTGCCCAGGGTTAAGTCGGGCGTGTCCCTCTACAGGGGGAATACCCAAAAATAGTACAAACATAGTCGGGGGACGATTTGTTACTAGTTTCGAATATTTGGGGGGCGTTGTTATAGCATGTTTTATTTGTCGCCCAAAATCCCCCTGTAGGGGGACACGCCCGACTCAAGCCCAGGGCGACCCCTGCCCCCCACATGAAGCACTTTGGACCAGGTGTAGGGCAATGGCCTCGCTGGTAAAAGCGCCTGCTCTTGCACACCTCCGCCACAGCTGCAGAACGCTGACACACAGAATCGATAGTTGTGGGGGCCGGGGTCGGTTTCCCACTTTGGGGATCTTCTGACCCGGGTCAATCCAGACCCGGGTCAGCAGGAAACCAAAAAACTGCAATGCAGGGAAAAAAACTGCAACGCAGCTCTTCGCAAACCCGGGTCAGCCAACAGGCGGCGGCCGCCTCGAGCGGCCACGAGCGGCTCGCCAACCCGTGTCAGCCCGAGGGGGCCTCCGCAGGACCCTGCGGGATCTGGCGCCCTGGCTGACCCCCGTCTGCAGTGACCCCCGTCTCTTGGCTCCCGACCACTGTCCCCGACCCCCGTGCCCGGGGCTGGCTTCCCATCCCGTCGGGGGCGGACAGAACCCCCAACAGTGACACGTCGACTAGTGCATTGTCCGCTTTCGGCTCTCGAGAGGGCGCCGCGGCCGTCATTTTCCAGGCTTGCGCCCGCCAGGCTTGGGCCGCAGGTCGTTCTCACTAAACCACGCCTTACTAAAGGGGGGTCTGTCCATCCCCGATCCCGGGTCGCTGCGGCACGGCCCGAAGGGCCCCCGCGGCGGGGAAGGGCCTCTCCGGCGGCCGACCCGCCAGAGGGCGAGAGACGCCGCCAGTCCTCGCGGGCCCCCCCGCGTCGGACCTCGGGGAGCCAGCCCCGGGCCGCCTCGGCTCACGTCGGGCGTGTCTGAAGGGGCCCTGGGACACATGGGTAAATCCGCCGATCCGGCGTGTGAGTTTTAAGGAGTCTCAGCTACAGCCTCGAGGCTGAGCCTCGGCCTCTGGGGGGGTTGCCGGGGTGGCTCTGCCGGGGAAGGGGGGGTGGGGGGGGGGGGGTGCGAGTTTCCGGCGGATGCGTTTTTTGACACCCCTCACAAGGATCGTGGCCTCCGAGGGGGTTCCGAACTCGAGTACCACCCCTCCCGCACCAAGAGGCTCCGAGGAGGCCTCCAAGAGGCCCCAAGGGGCGCAGAAGAGGCCCCCAAGAAGCCCCAAGAGGCTCCCAAGAGACCCCCAAGAGGCCCTCTAGTGGCCCCAAGAGGCCCAAGAGGCCCCCAAGAAGCCCCAAGAGGCGCCCAAGAGGCCCCCAGAAGTCCCAGCCAACCACGAGATCCCAACCAGCATCCATGAGGCCTCTGACCCACCACCCACGCACGGTGGCGGGATAGGCCGACGGCCACTGGATAAATGCTGAGTGAGAGGAGGGGAGGGAAAAAGAGAGGAGGGACGAGGGCGAAGAAGGATCACATCAGTCGGAGCGCCCCGGATCGGCGGCACTGGCCGAAGGCCACTACAATACACACAGATGAAAGGAATCCCCCTATTTCCCAGATGTTCTGGATGTTTTTTGTCTTCCCCCCCACTTCCCGTAGTTCCACATCTTTTGCTCGGAGTGGACGATTGATTGTGTCTGTGTGTTTTGTTCCCCTCATGAGTGTCTCCCGACAGGGGGATGTTGGGCGAAAAAAATAAAAACAACAAACAACAACAACAACAACAACAACAACAACAACAACAACAACAACAACAACAACAACAACAACAACAACAGCAGCAGCAGCAGCAGCAGCAACAACAACAACAACAACAACAACAACAACACAACAACAACAACGACGACAACAACAACAACAACAACAATGCCCAACAAATACCCCCAAAATACTCGAAAATAGTCAACAAATCGTCCCCAGGCTATTGGTTGACTATTTTTGAATATTCCCCCTGTGGACGGACACGCCCGACTTCAACATCAGCCCCCCTTGGACGTCCGAAACGAGTGCGGAGTACAAACGGCTCAGTGCCCAGCAGCAAGCGTTGTCCAAAGTCGGCAGCGGCGGCTGCTGGGCAGGCGACCTTCTGTCTCAGATAGACAGCGCCCTTGGCGACACCGACAGCGAGCCCTGTTCAAAATGAGCAGGACGTGCTGTCTGGCTTCGCACCCATGGGGGCAGTTCACGGTGGCAATACATAATAGAAGGCATTACATGTAGGCGGTACTTGGGGGCGAGACATGGGGGCAATACATGGGTGGGACAATATATGAGTGCGATACATGGGGGGGCAACACATTGGGGCGAGATTTGGGGGCAATGCAAGGGGGCAACACAAGGGGCAATACATGGAGGCAACACTTTGGGGCAAAGCATGGGGGGCAATACTTTCGCCCTCGCGGCCGCCCCGCACTCTGTATACAAATGCGGGGTGCTACGTACCCGTTCTTGCCGTACCCATTTCGATCACATAGCTTGCACCGCATAGCTTGCACCACATAGCTTGCACCACATAGCTTACACCGCATGGTTGCACCTCATAGCTTACACATCTACCGTGGAAGACCTTACTGTCTCGGATCCACGCTGGTTGATACCGTCTCAAATGGACAACGTCCGTGGCCAGACCGACAAAGAGCCCTGTTCATAATGAACAGGAAATACTGTCGGTCTTCGAACCCATGGGGGCAACACATGGGGGCAATACATGGGGAGCAATAGATGGGGGCAACCCATGGGGGCGATACACCATGGGGGCAATAAATACAGGGGGGGAGGGGCAACACATGGGGGCAATACAGGGAAGCGAAGCTTGGGGGCGACGCATGGGGACAACAGTTTTGCCCCAACCGCTGCCCACACACTCTTATCCACAAATGCGGGGTGCTACGGTCAGGAACTATTGCATAGCGTGTCGCGGCGGTGGCCCTAACTACCGACGCGCTATGCCCTGCGGGCGGATAGCACAGCACTCCGCTCCGCGGTGTGGGAAGCCCGGAAAAGCTCGTGGGCGTTGACGCCGGGAGGCCGGGAAGTGGATGGCGCGCCGCACCGAGGCGTGCCAGGCCAGAGCCGGCGGAGCGACACTTTCTAACCAAGCCAAAGTTCCCGACCGCACGTACCCCATTCTGGCCGTGCTTGGCATGGGGGAAGCGGATGGTGAGGGGAACATCGGGAGCGGCCAAGAGGGGGGTGTCCAAGAGGGGGGGGGTGCAAATCATGACCAGCGGCATGTGCGCGGCCCAGCGGGGGGGGCCAGGGACGTAATCAAATAAGAAGAGGCGCCATGAAATCTGGGGAAATATCATGGCCCACGCCATGATATCCACCCCCCCCCCTAGTCATCACCCCCCTCTTTGCCGCCCCCGAGAACAGGCCCTGGACTCTGGCGCCTGCCCCTGGGACGAGCCCTGCCATCCCGAGTCGCCTGCCTGGCAGGTCCCGGGAGCCCGTGGAGGGCTCCGAGGGGCCCGAGCACGGCGAGAGGCACCAGGGCCCTCCTCCCCCAGGGCCCGCTTCCCCCATGCAGGCTACACTGAAGGGGCCCTGGGACACACAAATAAGTACACACAAATGAAAGGATCCCCCATATTATTTCCATATTTTTCTGACTTTCGTCTTCCCCCCCACTTCCCATATGTTCACATCTTTTTCTGGGGATCGACGATTCATTGTGTCTGTGTGTGTTTTGCCCTCCTGATACACGCAAGAGTGACCCTGGGGAAAGGAGTGACCTTGGGTAATGCGCGGCTTTGGGGGGGACCGCGGAGGGACCAAGCACCAGCGCGCAAGACGCTACTGCCACATCGTCCAAAAAACAAACGGCACCACCCCACCCACGGCCCTCCATGTTGCGCTACGGCCCATCGGGGGCCGCAGCGTATACCATGCAAAAACCCACGCGAGACGCCCTGGTATACGCTACGGCCCGTGGGGCCGTAGGTGGGGTGGTGCCGTTTGATTTCTGGCCCAACCTCGCGCTCGGCGATCGGGGGACCCCACTGGGCCCGCACCAAAGGTCACTCCGGCGAAGGGGCATCGGCGATGCGGCGCGATCCACCGACCCCATCTACTCCGACCCCATCTAGGAGGCCTAGAAGGACCCGCTTCCCTCAGGACCGCTTCCCCCATGGCGTCCCCCCTGGCGATGGGGAAATCAAAAGGTACCGACACCGCTGCTCCCTGGGCCTCTCCCCGGGCGCCTTCTGACCAGGACTTCGAGACGCGTCCAGCGGTGGCCACGAGGGCCGCCCAGGAGGCCCCAAGAAAGGGGGAAAGCCGGAGAAGGGTAGAGTAAAACAGGGGTAGGATCAAGATAAATCGCTCCAGAGCGTTCCGGAGCGCTCTCAGAGCGTTCCGGAACGCTCTGGAGCGGCCGCGGCGCCCAATACATCCTCCAAACCCGCCGATTCTCACAGATTTCGAGCTATCCCGATCCGATTTTGTCCCGATCTCCGCGTCGTTTTATAAAGGCATAGGGGCAC